CCTGCCTCCTGCCTCCCCAGAGGTGGCCCCAGCGCTCCCCCACCCCGCCGCCCGACCCCACTCACCCTGGCCGGCCGGGCCCTCAGAGCAAAACGGGGTAGCGGGGATGCCGGCTGGGACCCGTCCCTCCTGGGCCCTCTTTCATTTTCCCTTTAGGGCTGGACTGGCCAGGGTGGAGGACAGGACAGGGTGGCCGAGGGGCTCGCCTCCCCCTTCTCTTAAAGGGACAGGGTGGCCCTGCCGACGCGCTCCACCCTTGCCGGGCCGTTTCCGCCCCTCCCTGGGTTATCACCACCTGCAGATGGGGCTGGGGTCACCGGAGCGACATCCTGTGCGGAGGGCACGGGGCGGGGCCCACTGCAGCCGGCGGTCCCTGGCGTCCGACGCAGGGCTGGCATTTAGGTGGCATCTGGGGACTCAGGTCCCCACTGTTACAGAAAACCCAAGAAAGCACCACGTGGAGGCGTCAGGAAGGGCAGCTCTGGTCCTGAACGCAGACTTGGGCTTCTTTCCGGTTCTCTGGCTTGCAGAGTTACTAATGACCGCCTCGGTTGGTTGGGTTTTTTAAGACAGGCCCAGGCAGTGTAGCCCCCTTTGGCCCTGAACCCTTGACCCTCCTGCCTCAGCCTCCCAAGTGCTGGGATGAGAGCAGGTGTGTCCAGTTAGAGGGGCTCCTCTGCTGTGGGGAGGGTGGCCAATGGGGACTCAGCAGCGCGAGGGGACCCCCTGCTCCTCCCCAGGGGCCCGGCCAGCCCAGCCCGCGCAGCATCCTGAGCTGGCAGCCGTGGCATAGGGCACTGTGTGCAGCGGGGAAGCTGAGGCCAGAGGGTCCTGCAGCAGGTGTGCTGCAGCCTGGCTGGCTCCCCCAGGGGCCTTCTCTTCCCCAGACCGTCCCTGGGCCCTGTGTGGGGCTGGAGGGTGCCGCGTGGAGGTGTCCTGACCCCTCCTGTCCCTCCTCGTGACACCTCAGCGGGAGACCAGGCTGTGGAGCAAGAGCTGGGAGCGCACGGCCCGTGCTGGAAACAGGATGTGGGGTGGGGCAGCACGGGGCGCCCTTCCCAGCTGTCCCGGTTCTGTCCCTGCCTGGAAAAACCCGGCCAGACCCTGCCTGTGTGGGGAGCGGGGAGGGGCGGGGTGGGGAGCCTGGTCAGCTGCACCACAGCGCCCCCAGGAGCCGATGCTGTCCAGGGCCCGCCTCCCGGATAGTGGAGGTGTCGCTGACACTGAGCAGGATCTGGGCACAGTCGGGCTTCCTGTCTCCTGTGCCCCTGTGGCATTTAAATGTATTTATTTTCCATCCTGGGAACTGAACCCAGGGCCCTTGCGTAAGCTCCACCCCTAGCCCTTTCTGTTTTTCATTTTGAGGCAGGATCTCACTGAGTCTCTGAGTTGCCCTGGCTGGGCTCCAACTTGTGATCCTCCTGCCTCAGCCTCAGAATGTGGTGATCACAGGCGAGCGCCGCCTGCCTGGCCTTAGTTCTCCTTTTTTTGGTACCAGGGGTCAAACTCACCACCTTGCACTTGCAAGGCAGGAGCGGTGCCCCTGAGCTAAATCCCTGCCCATTAGTTCTCTTCAGAGTGGGTTTCTTGTGTAAGAACCCACAAGGTCCCGGATCACGCCAGCTGTAACTGGGTCAGGGTCCTGCTGAACGGCACAAGGTCTCCACGATCCACCCACTCAGGTGACCTTGTAATTCCCACCCACAGCGTGGGAGACCAGTTGGTGGCCTGGTCTAGAGCTGGCCTCTTCGGGCTTTGTGCTCTCCAGGATCTCGCAGACTGTCGGGGTGGGGTGGGGGCAAAGCTTGTGAACACTTCCTCTGCGGTGCTGAAAGATCGCCAGCCCCGCAAACTGGCCACGCCAGTCACCCCTGCACGTAGGAGGCTGAGGCGGGAGCATCTTCCAGGCCAGCCAGAACCAGACTCTATCTCTGAAGAAAACAAAAGAGGTGCTCCTCATGACCGGGTCTGAGCACCGGGACCAGGGCCGAGGACAGGACCTGCTCCCTGGTCTCCTGCGCCCTGGGTGCGTTGGTGGTTTCCCTACAGCCGGCTTGGATTTGCTTGGATTTGGGGAGGCTCCGGTTTGTGGAAAGCAAGGAACATCTGCGATTAGTTCCTGCTGCGGCTCCAATTCCTCGCACCGGAACTGGAACCGTATGTTATTTTTAAGAACAACAACAACAAAAAAGCTTTTTCATTTAGAAAGAAAGTATTTGCTATTTTTTGTAAACTATAGGAAGAGTCCACCCAGATCGCTTCTGGAGAAGCTGCTGATGTTCAGCTCTGACCTGCGGCGCCCATCGGTTCTCAGCGTCACCAGCTGAGAACAGGAGGGCTCACTAAACAAGGGCACTCTGGGGGGCTGAGGCAGGAGGATTGCAAGGCCAAGTCCCGCTTGGGCAACTTTGTGATGCGCTGTCTCAAGATACAAATAAGAGCCTGGGTTCGGTCCCCAACTTGGTAAACCCAACCCAAGTGCTTCTGAGCCAGCTGGCTTGGGTGGGCCTGGCGCTTGGCGTTTCTAGCGTCCAGGCTGAGGGAGCCCACACCGAGAAGCTGGTTCTGTGTGCAGTGATGACCTTTGGTTTACGCCTTCGATCCAGAGTACGGTCCACAAACTGTGGCGCTGGGATCACTTAAGAATTTGTGAGAAATGCACAGTCTCAGGCCCTACCCAAGCTCCCACAGATAGGAAGCTGTTACTAGGATCCTGGAACCATTTGTAACCCAGTGAGGTGGCACACAGCTGTCATCCCAGCACTCAGGAGGCCGAGGCAGGAGAGCTGCGTGTTCAAGGCCAGCCTGCGCTACATAGTGAAACCCTGCCTCAAAAAGAAAGACTGGTTTATTTACATAGCTTCTCCCTACCTCACTGATACAATTTACACACGATAAATGTGCCACTGATGAGCTTCGATAAAATTATACAGCATCATTTCATAGCTTTTCTGTCTGCTCAACCTAGACTTTCCTGGGCTCTTACACTTTGGGAAAACAGGATCTCACTTTGTAATGCAGGTTGTCCTTGAACTCAGTGTTGGCCTCCAACTCTCAGCAATCCTCCCGCCCCGGCCTCCTGAATGCTGAGATTATAGGTGTGCGCCACCACCACACCTGGCTCAGTGAACCCTTTTGGACACTCTTTGTTCAGATTTTAATTTTTTGTACTAGGAATTAAACCCAGGGCCTTTGCATTGAGCTATATATATAGAGAGAGATAGATAGATAGATATAATCTCCTTATCCGTTTTTTAGTTTTGAGACAGGGTTTCATTAAGTTGTCCAGGTTGGGCTGGAGCTTTTTTGGGGGGTACTGGACCTGAGCTTTTGATCTACCTGCCTCAGCCTCCCAGAGTGCTGGGATTACAGGTATTCACTCACACATGACTTTTAAATATTTTAGACTGCCTGGCCTGAGGGAGCACGCCTGTAATCTAAGCAGTTGGGAGGCTAAGGCAGGAGGACTGCTGTAACTTTGAGACCAGCCTACAGGCTACATAGTGAGTTCAAGCCCAGCCTGGACTACACAGCCAGGCCTTGTCTCAAGTTTATCGTTCTTCATTTAGTCACAGAGCCCCATCACTGTGGCCAAAGTCCATTAGGCTCGTCAGAAAATGAACACTCTGGAAAGGACTTTTTTTATTGAAAAGGACTTATTTTAACATAAGGAAAAGACAATACAGGTTTTTAAAAAGGGCAAAGATAAGTTGTGATGTTTAGATAATTTTATTACAGTATAAAATTTTTGGAAATGAGATAACTAGAAAGACACAGTAAATATTTACAGAAAATTCCACAACACCAGCAAGGAACACACAGAACAGTGCAGGTCTTGAGGTTTCTAGGCTGGAATCCTGGGCTTCCCAGAAGGTCAAGTGGCACCAGCGTGTCGGGGAGGTGAGTGCCGCAGCCACCCATGCTGCCCGGCCAGCCAGAGCGGCCACTCCTCCGCCTGCCCTCCGCATGGGGTCCCGCAGACTCAGCCAGCGTGGTTTTCTTTAGTCTCTAACGAATTTCAAAGGATACGAGCAGTTTTTCATCGTTTAAACAGAAAGAAGTTCAGCACGTGAGCGGCCGGGCGGAGAGTGCTCCGACTGCAACCGTCAAGTGCTATGAGGTGGACGCTAGCTGGGGTCAGGGTGCTCCGGTCAGTGCGTGAAGTTGGGAGCCGGGCAGAGGGGCGCTTGGGATCGAAGTGCCCGGTTTTAGCTGTTCCATGCTGAAGGGGCTGGTGACTCGCCAGGTTCGGGAGAGAGGAACACATTTACAGATCAAAGAAACACGAAAAAACAACGACAAAAGGGGAAGAGATGACGGTGCCTGGAGACGAGCCAGCGCTGGTGCCTCGGCCCCACTTCCTTCCTTCCGAGGTCCTGGTTTTTGGATGAGGCCCTGCTTTAAAAATACCTTCCCGGGGCCAGGGATGTAACTCAGCGGTGCCGCTGCCTGCTGCACAAGCGTGAGGTCCCAAGTTTGATCCCCGGCACCAAAATAAAAATAAAAATAAAAATACCTTCCCGGAAGGGGACTAAAACCTTAAGGAAACTGTGACACTAGTCTTGGGCTCAGTAAGACCATTCCGAACAGTCACTGCGGTTTAAAACAGATCGTTGTCGTCGGACTCCTCCAGGTACTTTATAGGCTTCTTTGCGCGCACGGACTTTGCCCGAGGAGCCACAGCCGAGTCCAGCGCCATCTGGAAGTCATCGCTCTCCGCCTTGGATTTCTAAAGACAAAGCCAAGCGATCTGCACACGCGAACCCGGCCGCCTACGGCTCCCCTGCCTGCAGCCTCCACGCCTTCCACCAAGCACTAAGTAGGCGGGAGGCAGAGCTGCCCCACTGCTTACGGGAGGTCACATCAACTTCGTAACAACGCAATGAACTAAGGGATTAGGAGTTTAAAATCACTGTCTCAAAAATATGTCCACTTAATAGCAAAGCTCGGGCGTCTCAAAACATCCACAGCAAGCTGGTGTGGTGGCACACACCTCTTATCCCAGCTCTGGGGAGGCTGAGGCAGGGGGATTGCAAGTTCAAGTCCAGACTAGGCAATGTATGGAGACCCTGTCTTAAACTTTAAAAAGGGCCAAGGTTGCAACTCGTGGTACAGCACCCCGGGTTCAACTCCCAGAAGCATCCCGCCTCCTCCCAAACCCCCGGAACAGCAACAAAGACAACAACAAAAGGATAAAATGGGCTAAATACCTTGCTCGTGGCTCCTCTAGAAATGACTTTCTCAAAGGTAGAATCCGAATCATCAGAGGTGGATGGTTTCCTTTTGCGTCGATACTTGGTTTTGGCGGGATCAGGCTTTTGAGAGGCCTCAGAATTCCGGGCGGGGTCTCTTTTGGTCCCTTTTGGCGCTGCCCTCTTCCTGGTTCCGGCAATGGAGGCAGAAGGATGACCTGCAAGTCAACCAGGCATTGATCGCGGCCGTTCTCTGGGTTTCCTCCCTGGGAACTTTCTTTAGTGACCCGACTGCGTACGTCTGACCCAGGAAGGGACAATCGGGGAGAGCTGGGGATACTAAGCTCCAGAGAACTGAAGTACTCGTGAGCATTCAGTTTCTAAGTTATGTTTTAAGGCCGAACATCTGCAACTGCATATAAGCCATTTCCCCATTACAGAAGTGAGCTGCCTGCCCGGTTCTGAGAAGCACACTGATTTTCACGATACTGTTATAAAGATCTGAAAGCAACTGCTTCCATTTGGAGAACGACTAACTGCAATGTCAGTCGCAAGTTTTCAGAGAAAAAGGAATCGACCCGGGGGAGCCGGCCAGGAACTTGCCCAGGGCTGACCCGCACCAAGGTCTGGGGTTACCTCTCCCTGCGGTCTTCAGGGCTGCGCTTCTCTGGGGAGGCAGCTTTGCAGCCTCAGTCCCGGCGGGGAGGTCGGCAGGTGGCTCCCGGTCCTCTGCAGCCTCAGCCTGCAGCCCACTTACTCCTCATGGCCAGGGGAACAGGGGGAAGCCACTCACTGCTCGTCCCCCACCTCCAGTTCCTGCCCCAACATTTTAGCTACCCTACAGCTTTGTTCTCATTCCCCAGCTCTTCACCACAGGAGCCCTTTTGTCTCTAGCATCTCTGTACCCAGCGTGGTACCTGGCCGTGCTGTGACTGTACTGAGCACATCGTAAACAGCAGCTAGTGCTAATGAGGACTCCAGCTCTTCCTAAAGTACCTGGACAGCTGAACCCGAATGCGCCAGTGAAAGCAGACGCCTTACTGCTTTTATTCAATACATACCTGACATGATGCTTTTCTGTGGCTTTGGTTCTTCTTTTTTAATAAGTCTAGAAGGAAAAAACAACAACTTCCTGACAACCAGCTCTTCAGTGTACCAAACAACACAATCATGTTGTCTGCTCCGAAGCACCAGGCTGACAGAATCCGCCGTACAGACTCACTTTGGGGGAGCTCTGGGCTTAGGAGGACTGGCACCTGACGGGACAAAACCATCCTCTTCAGGCTCTTCATCAAAATCGGAGACATCTTCATCTGAATCCAAATCCATTGTGAATTTGGTTTTTGCTGTTAAAAGTACACACACATAAGGACGAGAGGCCAATATAACCACTCAGGCACTCACCGACGGAACACTTCACAGGTACGTGAACGGCCACCTAATCTCCTAAAGGACGTTTATGTTTTTCAAATATGTAGGGTAATTTAGCGCTGAGAAACTAATTTCCAGGGCTCAGCACTGCAAGTTCTTGGCCGGCTCTCCGCCTTCTTACCTGCAGCTCTCCGTGGCTCTATTTCTCGTGGCGGGACATCAAAATTACTTTCGTTACTGCTCATATCCGACTCAGAATCAGACCAGGGGTTCCTCTTCTTTCCTTTTCTGACAGGTTTAAATGGCAGGGTAGTTTGTTTCTTTGCCCTGGCACCTAGAAGGGAGACAGAGATGAACTACTTGTGTAGCTCAGGCTCCGCTTTCTCCATCCACCACTCGGCTACACTTGAGACGCTCCCTGGGTTAAACGGTTAACACGCGCTGAGAGGAAAGGGACACGCAGCTGGTCAGGTGACAACACGCACAGGAGGCCCGGGGGACGCTGAGGCGGCGCGGCTGGGAAAGCAGGTCAGGGAGAGGAGAGGGGCTGGTCTTGTGAAGGCTTTGGTTCTGCATTTTAAAATCCGCACTTGCCTGCAGTGTGGAGATGGAAGGGCCAGGAATAGATGAGGGGTGGAGCCCAGGCAAGGAGGAGTCCAGAGAGACGAGTCACAGGACGGGCTCAGGGGACAGGGCCCCCCAGCATCCCGCTGTGGCCCTTTCTGCCGTCTTGCCAGGGGAATTTCCCTCTGTCTCACCCGGTTCACGTTCACTTTTCCAATCTTCCCCATCTTCCCCAACAACCCAGCGCCTACTGGTTTCCTGGTGTTTCCCAGTGGAAAATTTCCCTGTGGAGACCTCTGTCCCCTGCACTTCATACGCTCATTTTTCTTCTCCCATTGGAGAAACTGAAATGGAACCGACTGTCAAGGTTCCTGATGGAGCCTTGTGTTTGTAATCAGCAGGAGCGCACACTGGGCCCAGCCTCTCTGCCATCCCCACGGCGACGGCTGTGCAGTGCCTGGCTGCCCTTCTTTCCTCCTCCCTGGGGAGTGGCCCTAGGCAGACTCTACTGGCCCTCTTTTTTTGGTACTCGGGATTGAACTCAGGACCCTGTGCTTGCAGGCAGGCGCAGTGCCACTGGGCCAAATCCCCGGCCCTCCACCCACCTTTTTTGAGACAGGGTCTTGCTAAAGTTACCCAGGCTGGGCTCGAACTCCTGATCTTCCTGCCTCAGCCTCCCAAATGCTGGGATTACAAGTGCGCCCCACCACATCCAGCTTGTGTTTCTCTCCACAGCAGCCTCTCGAGGTTTACTAGTGCTGCGCTCTCCCATTTCTTGTGCCTTTAAAATGTTGGATACCATAGGTGTTCAGAGCGCTGAAATGACTGGTTAGTTATGCGCTGTCCATGACGGACAGCGAGGTTAAAGGTGCGTGTGTGGCAGTACAGGGCCAGTAAACGGTGCAGAGCAGCACATGGACAGTGTTTTTATCACTCTTTAAAAATACTAATGTTGGGCCGGGGATTTAGCTCAGTGGTTCTGCTGCCTGCCTCGTAAGCACAAGGACCTGAGTTCGATCTCTGGTACCAAAAAATAAAAACAAAACAAAAATACTGATGTTTTCATCTGTTTTGTTCAGCTTGTCCATGAGCTGAGAGGTATGTGTGCGCCCTGGAGCCGAGCACGAATGATGTGTCACGAGCAGACCACCTAGATGCACAGGCCATAGACCCTACAGAGAACAATTAAAGGAATGGAGTGCGAGGCCACCAATAAATGTTTTCATTTCTAAAAACTTTTGGTGGCCCTGGGGATCGAGCCAAGAGCTTTTGGTCTGAGCTTCACCCTAGCCTTCTCCTAGCTTTTCTGCTGAGGCTGGGTCCCTGGAGGTTGCAAAGTCCCACAGGGCGGGGTGCTGGGATTAGAGGTGCGCACCCTGCTCTGGCTGGGAGCCCATCCACAAATCTCGTGTACACGTGCAGTCAGATGACTTGACCAAGGCCCAGGGGTCAATGGGAAAATCAGCCTTTCCACACGACACTGGGAAAAGGATGTCGACATGCAAAAGGACGGAGATGAACTCGTTCCTTACCCCACTTTCAGAAACTAACTCGAGGGCCCGGGGCTTTTGCTCAGTGGCCGATCTCTTGCCGAGTGTGAGGGCCTGGGTTCGGTCTTCATATCCAAAATACTAATTCACAGTGGATGAATCAGACATTAAGAAAATATAGGGGTCTATCCTCCAAACTTTGAATTTGGCAAACGATTAGAGATGACCCCAAGGCATGGGCAACAACAGCAAAAGACATGGGCCAATTGGACTTCAACCAAAATTAAAAACTTATGGTTCAAAGGGTACCATTGAGAAAGTAAAAAGCAGCTGGCTACATTGGTGCAGACCCATAATCTGCTACTCAGGCAGGAAGATCACAAGTTCCAGGCTAACCTGGGTAACTAAGGGAGACCTTATCTCAAAACCAAGGGGGCTGGGGTACAGCTCAATGCTAGGGCACATCCGTGAGGCCCTGGGCTCCAGCCCCAGTATGGGGGTGGGCAGAGAAGAGGGGGACAACAACCTACAGAATGGGAAAACATTTGCAAATCATATCTGGAAGAGGCCGGAATCCATGATATGTAAAGAAAACTTAAACAAGAAAAAGACAGTACAACTAAACAAATGGCAAAGAATCTGAACAGACTTCTCTGACCATAATAAGCCCACAGAAAGATGCTCCACGCCACGAGCAAAGAGGGAACTACAAAATGTTTTTGGTTCTGGGGATCAAACTCAGGACTTCGCCATTTCAAGCCAGGTGCAGCGCCACTGGGCTAAATCCCCAGCCCTGGAACTACAATTTAAAGTACAGTGAGATACATTTTACATCTAGTACTGCCAGAATCACGGGGAAAGATGATACACATTGTTAACATGGGGAGAAATAGCCACCCTCATACACTATGGTGGGAATGTAAAAATCAGGTAATTGTTTGGAAAATAGTTCAGCAGTTCTTAGTAAACTTAAACAGCCTAGGGCCCAGCCAAGTCCTCTCCTAGATATCTACCCAAGAGAAAGGAAACCTTAATCCCATATAAAAATTCTACCCCCTCTGTACCAGGAATAGAACTCAGAACCTCGTGTTTGCCAGGCTTCTACCCCCTCCGTACCAGGAATCGAACTCAGAACCTCGTGTTTGCCAGGCAGGTGTGGCTCCACTGAACTATATCCCTGGCCCATACACAATTCTGTATATAAATGTTCCAGACAGCATTACTCATGAGAGTAAAAAAGTGGGAGGGAAGCCGGACATGGTGGTACACGCCTGCAGTCCCAGTACTGCAAGGAGGAGGCAAAATGGGGAGCGGCTACTAATAGGCACTGTCTTTTGGAGGGTGATAAAACTATTCTAAAACTGACTACACTAAAACCATTAAAAGTTAATCTTCAGGCTGGGGATTTAGCCCAGTGGCGCCACCGCCTGCTTAGCAAGTAGAAGGACCAGAGTTCGATTCCTGGTACCAAAA